TATTTAGGAGATATTCCTGATGTTAATAATTCTGTTATGAATGAATCATTATCATTAACTTCATCAATTCATATTGAAAATTCAACAAACACATTTTCATCTTCATCTCGAATATTTAATGTTCTATCGACTAGTTACACATTAACAAGTAATATAATTGAAAATGGATCTACATCATCTATTATATCTCAAACAAAATCAACAATAGCATCAATTCAGTCACTTGTTGATCAAATGAATTCTTATCGTAGTACAAAAATACTTGCTCGTATACAAGCTTGTGATTCAAATATGAAATTAAATGATATATGTGAAATGTATTCAATTGATAATAATACAAGTTTATTAATACGTCAATCAAATATTGAATTTTATACGTTACAACATCTTTTTGATGTTCTTGTTAATCGAATAATTGTACAAAAATTAAATGAATTTTGTTTACCAATTAAATGGTGTTTAAAAAATTTATCCGAGAGTGATATTTATATTACATCTGATATTATACAAGAACGTGGACGTTCATTTTGTTATTTAGAACAATGTCATTCACGGCTATTAGTTTATATTAATACATGTCCAATACTTTCGAATAAAGTAAAAAGAATAAATAAATCAAATCTATTTTATAGAATTTCTTTTTTTTTTCTTCAAATATAGAATATAAGCATACCAACATTAAAATTATTATCAATGTTATGTACTCTTTATAATGAACAACAACGTTGGAGTTCAACTCAGTGCATAGAAGGAATTGTTTATTTTCTTCATATACTTTATGCTTTTTGGCCTCAAATTGAGGTAATCTTTATTTTTAATGTCTATTCATCGAATGATTTAAAAACAAAAAGAAATTTAGAAATGTTATGATAATATTTCTGCTGGTTTTGATGGTTGTACATCTGAATGTCAATCATTTAATGATATTTTGAATCAAGTAAAAATTCAATGTGATGATTATGGAACATTTTTATCTCGGTAAGCTAAATAAATATGGTCTTATATAAATATAGATAATTCTTTTTCTTTTTTTTTGTTATTTTGATGAAAAGAGTACCTGCTTTAGATTGGTATCAATCGATTAATTTAAAAGAAATATGTTATCGAAAAAATATTTCAACAAGCCATCGATTTATCTATTCAGTAATATTTTATAAATTGATTAAATAATTTATTTATTTAAATCTTCTAGGTAGAGAACTTTTTTTCTTCGAGTTTATTTTGGGATCGATTTCATGTAAAATCTATCTATATTGTTTTATTAATGATTGTTATTGTTTCAAGTGTAATTACTTTTTCATTATGTTTTTATTTTAAGTCAAAATTTCGATTTAATTCAAATAATCGACGATTTGATAATAATTATGAATATACTCAATTACATAACTCATCATTTGAATTTGAAACCAATACTGAAAGTAAGTATAGACATGAATATAAATTCATTGATTTATTTTTTGTTTTTATGTAGTTCCAAATACGAATTCAACAATAAATCAGATAATGAATGATGAATCACAAGCTGTTTCAAATGATCGTTTTCATCCATTTGAATATCAACGATTATTACATACAGAATCATAAGCAATAAAAGAAAGATCGTTGTTTTTTTTTCTATTAATAAATACTTCCTTGTGTACTCAACGAGTTTTGATGATGAATTAAGATTTGTTATTATTAAACGAATATATATTTAACTTATGAAATGTAAAATATCAAATATTCAAATGTTGTTCAATATTTAAATATTTGTTATTCTTATTTTCGATTAGACAACAATGATAAATAGACAATAGACGATAGTGAAGTAGTGATTCATGTAAAGTAATTTATTCTTAGTGGCATTTTCACGCGTATGGAAATAGAGAGTTGTTGAATTTAAATTAAAAATAAAATGAAACTCAATTGCTTAAATACGAAATAGAGTTAATTGATTATTGGAAAATAAAAGATCATAAAGGTGACGTATTAATTGAGTTATATAGGGAATCATTTCTGCATTGACAACCTCCACTCGATTGCAAAAATCGAATAAAGTGAACAAAGTAAACAAAACAACTGTTGATAAGAATATCTCTAGTTCGACCATCAAATATTCAATCATTACTAAATAAAAGTAAATGAAATAGATTACATACATCTATGCTTCGATGTTGAGAAAACCTTCATTGACATTATTGATTGAATTGCATATCACTCATCGACAAGACAGTTTGTCGATAGATATTTTGTCGATAACATTTCATTAACAAGCATATAGTCGAATGACATTTTGTCGACAACTGACTTAGTCAACAATGTATTTTTCGTCTGTATTATGAATCTCTATATTTTGACAATGAAACGGCACCCACAATCTTATTTTTTGACTATTTAATCAAAAAGTATTTCCTTTTGAAACACAATGACAATTAAGGTCAATGAAACTTTCATCAGTTCAAATTTAATACACTTCAGCGTGAGTGTTGATGAAGCATATATTCAAACCCGCATCTGAACCTTCTCGCTTTTGGTTACAAAGAAGAAATGAATCGAATTATAAACAGAATAATTCAATCCTTCTTTGTATTGGCTTTTGCCTGTTTCTTCTCACGATGTATATTCTTATTAGTTTACTACTTATATGTGTTATTTTCTCTTTTATTTTGTTGAGTAGAGGTACAATACATCCAAAGCCTTGGAGCTTGGTGAGACGGCTTAGAGTTATGTTTGTCCTTCAATGACCCAAATCCTACAGGTTTCGTAAGATAAAGTGTTAGAAAGAATTATGAAACTTAATCAGAAGTGCGGCGAAGCCGTAAAATAATGTTAGGATTCACGACCAAATTCAAATATTAAGAACTTCGCCCCATAGCCAAAAATGCATTTTCTGATTTTTTTCGCTCTCCTAGTAAAGTAAAACTTTGTTTCTAACAATTTACCTTACCAAATCTGTAGGATTTGGATTATTGAAGAAAAAAGTCAAACCTAAGCTCCCAAATCCGCTTTCAAATACAGTTCCAAGGAGACTAAATTCAAACTCGAAACAAATTCCGAAGTCCTTGGTCCTAAATCTCCAATCTATTGTAGATTTGTTGCACCTTTATCATTAGGCAAATAAAGAAAAAGTAGGCTGATGTTTTTGAATATTAGTATTTCTTCACAAAGATTTTGTCGACCACATAACTTCGACGAAAAGTTGTCGACGAACGATATTATTACCTATTGATAAATTTCTGCCATTTTGGTCGATGTCTGTGTAATTATATCTCTTTCACATCTTTCAATTTCATTAGAATAGAAAAAAAAAGAAATCATCAGTGTACGACTTGTTAGTCATTTAGTAAAACATATAGATCGTAATAAAAATTGAATTTTTATTTGAAGAATTTTGTTTTTAAGATTTATAAAACTAATGATTTTGTTTTGGATAAAACTTGACTTCTTTTTGAAAGGCCTACAAAAATCTCTCCATAGATATCTTATGGATCTTATTGATTTCATTTATTGTCATCTTGCAAAATCTGTTATTTGTAAATTCTGTATCATTATTATATATAATGACTCTTACCATTCCTTATATTTTGTTTTCATCGTTAACCATGAATTATTACTATTAGACAAATACATTTTTCAAAGCTATGAATAATCGTGGGCAATCAGAATGTGCTACTTAAGTTCATGATTTGTTTAGGTAATTAAAGTGAACAAGTTTCTGCGATCTATTTCAGAGAAAAAGAATCCATTAAATTCATCATCGACTTGCTTATGATAAAATTCAACATATTTTTACTTGTCAAGGTAAATCTGAAGGTTGATCTCAGGCAAATCAAAACTAAAATGAAATTCGTTTTTTATTCATTTGTTTTTCATTGACATATAAAAGTTCTTCATTTCTAAATCCGATTAATACCTTAGCAAAGATTTTATAATTCAATGTCAACTGACGAATAAAAAAAAAAAGAACGAAGAATTTACAAAATTTCAACAATAGGTAATTTATTAAATTCTCACCAACGCATTTATTTTTCCTTGATTCAATTTATAAATTTAATGGTATTTATTAGTACATATGATCACGTATCATGAATATTTGTAATACTCTTATCAGTAAAAAAATCAACGAAGAAAAAAGTATTCAACAATGTTTGCTTATTTGTTTATATCCCTGCGGTCTGTATACATACAAAATAAATGAGAACAAAGAAGAAATTATCTTCTAGCTCGTTGAATATAGACAATACTATTTTTCTCTTGTATATTTCTGAGAAGAACAGAGAGAATAATTATCACAATCCATTTTATTGATTATTAGATGAGAAACAAGACAATTCAAGTAAGAATATTTAATTTTTGATTACAAAAAGAAAGGTGTTATTTCAATCTTTCTTTCTCTTTGTCTTCGTCTACTTGCCATGTCTCTTATTATTGAATACGAGTGTGTGCACGAACAATTGATTATTCTATGTTGAAATTTAATAAAATATATGCATGTGATTAACATTAATATTTGTTATGATTAATCTATTTAACACTTTAAAATTCAATTGCACATATTCTTTGACTACCAACAAGATGATAATATATAATTTAAGTGATCTACTATTGTAATATTTCTTTCTCAAATGCTATAGATGAAAAAGAGCGACAACCTTTTTTCACAGATGTTAGGCATTTATCATTATAACTGACGATCACCTAAAGCAGAAGAAAAGACCTTGATAGAAATATATGTATTCATTTTATCGTCTTTTTTTTCTATTGCATAATCATTAGAAGTATTAATATCGATACAGGTCATTCATCATTGAAGAAATACTTATGTTAGTGATGATGGTGATCTAATCTTATAGCTGGCATCACTAATATTCATTTTTTTTTTATTGATTGAACAAGCACATTTATACATATATATATGTGTATATGTATATATTAACACAAAGAAGAAAGGGCGATTCCAGCTGGTGCTCTTGATACTCTTGATGATTATAAGAGTTAAAATAAATCATGTTGGGCTATGTGAGTTGAAATATTTACTTTTTTTTGCCTTCACACGATACAAATGTTAAAGCTTGGACTTAAATTTGAACATAATTCTTCTTGACATCTCTTATACGTTCTTTCGTTCTATGATTATTATTATTATGGCTGTTGACGAATCGTCATTAATATTTACATTTTGTTCTATAACTTTACCCTTCCTCCCATTTTTTTTCTCTTTAAAGTTCATAACAACCTACCAAAGAATATATATATATATATAATTTTTAATCATACTGACATAACATATCAGATATACATGTTTTTGATTTATTGTAAGAAATGGTTTACAATAATAAAAAAATTGATAAATCAACAAAAGCTTAGTATTATAATAAAATAATGTTGAAATTTCTTTTTTTTTTTTCATAGGTCATGTCGGACGTTAATCACAGTTGTTCCAGTATAAGCACGATCAAATCCAGTTATAGTTCAAAAACTATTCTACCATTAATTACATGGTAAATATATATATTTATATATATACATATATTTATTTAAAATAAATCTTTTGATTATTTAATTTAAGTCCAATTTGTCTTGAAATTTTTCGTGAACCGTTACAATTACCTTGTCAACATAATTTTTGTAAGTCATGTCTTGAAAGAATTACAGTAGATCGTTGGAGTCGATGTAAGATATTATACTTTTTTTAACTTCAAATAAGGTAATAGTTATATTTTTCAGGTCCAGTATGTCGTGGATGTTATCGAGTACCATTTTCCGGTGTTGGCTCATTTGAAACCAATCGAACAATTATTAATTTACTTGAAAATCATTCATATACTGAATCAAGACCTATGCTTCAAGCTAAATGCGCTCTTTGTAAATTAGATGATACAATAACTGTAAAACTCTTTTCTTTTTATTAAGTAATTCTATTGAAAAGATTAATTGATTTATATATAGATATGTGAACATTGTCGTGAAGCAATATGTTATAAATGTCGTCGACAACATTATGATGAATTTCGTAAATATATTTGTTTAAAATTAAATGAAACTCAACAAGAAACAGAAAAATTAATTGCTAAAGAAGGTAGATATAAAACAATTAAATTTTCTTTTCAAATGATTTTTAATTATTTAAGTTGAAAATATAAAAAATCATGAAGAAAATATTAATCATTCAACTGATATGGTTAATACAATTCGTTATAAAGTAAATGAGCTTATAGATAAAATAAAACAAGAAGAAAAAAAATTACTTCATAGTATTCAGGAATTTAATAATACTGAACAAAGGTTAATATTATTCTTTTAATCTATTATCAATAATTTATTTTATATGTCAACTTTTTGTTTTTAAAGATTATTGAAGGAAAAGAATAATCGATTTCAAGATCTTACAAAAATTAAAACATTTTGTTTAAGTTCTCAAGAAAAATTATATAGGCAAGGATATGAATATTTAGTGATATATAATTTTATATCGTTAGTTTTTTTTTCGTTTTAGTAAAGAAGAAACAGATCAAGAAGCAATTGAAATTCGACAAAAATATGAAGAATATGTTATTAATACAAATAGTCTACAAAACCAAATACTTGTCGTTAAAACACCTCGACATCGAGTAAGTTACAACAAGAAATGAATTATTAAAATTTTCAGTTCTATCATTATAGATTTCATTCTTTAATCAAGATATATCATTCGATGCTATTTCATTGGGTTTTATTGAAATTAAAATGGAACTTGAACCAATCGAGAGTACTATTCAACTTTCACAATTAAAAAATTATTCAATTGATAAAAATATACAAAATTATTCAAAACAATTTGTTTGTAGTTTAAGTAGTACATCACAAGATCAAAATGAATTGTTAAATTTATCAATAATTAATGGAAATAGATGTTGTCCATCATCATCAAAAAATCATAAACGAACACCACGTATAATTGGTAAACGTGGAACACGTGATACAGAATTTAATCATCCATCATCATTAGCTTATTCAAAACGAGATAAATTGATTTGTAAATTAAGAAAAAAAAAAGAAAATAGATTTTTTTCTAATATTTATTTTTGATTTAGATGTATGTGACACATATAATAATCGTCTTGTAACATATGGTATTGATGGTATTTTTCAACAAGTTTATAAAGCCATAAGTGAAACAGGTGAAAGACGTTTTCATCATCCATATGCAATTCATATTGATTCAAATAATCGTCTTTATTTAATTGATCAATCTGAACGTCGAATAAAAGTCTTCAATCGTGACTTTAAATTAATTCGTCTTATTGGACAATATGGTCATGATATTGATCAATATTTGACTCCATGTGATTTATGTACAGATGAACAAAATAATATATATGTATGTGATGCTGGTGGTCATCGAATATTAAAATATAATGAACAAGGAGAATTTCTTCTTGCTTGGGGTGGACTTGGCACTGATAATGGACAATTTAAATGTCCAGCTTGTATTTGTACAATGAATGGTGATCGTTTAGCTGTATCCGATTGGGGTAATGATCGCATACAAGTGTTTAATTGTGAAGGTGATCATTTATTATCGATTGGTCATCGTGGAAAACTTCTAGCAGAATTTTCACGTCCATTAGGTTTAACATATGATGAAACAACAGAAAAATTATTTGTTTGTGATGATGGAAATAATCGTATAATGAAATTTAATCATGATTTTAGTATGACCGAATTAGTATATTCAAAGATAGGTTTTAATGGACCTTATGATATTTTATTACTTAAAGATGGTCAAATAATTATATCTGAACATCGAGCACATCGTTTACAAATTATTTAAGTCAGATGTGCGAGTAAAATTTTTGTATGTTTGCTTGTAAATCTCTCTTTTTGTGAAATACAATTATAGATTCAAAAATAAGTCATATTTAAACGAATGAGTTCAAGTATTCTTTCAATATAAGAGATATCCAAGAGTTTGTCCATAAAGAAAAATATTTAAATCTCAAATAATATCTATCAGTTTCGATTGAATTCACATGTCAAACATACAGTAGCACTCAAAAATAATCATTTATCTAATTCTAATAGCTCAAGATGGTTTTAATATACAGAGTTGAATTTTTCATCAAAAGGTAGACCTGTTTTCATAGCTTCTCTACTCAAAATATCAACTTTTGATGCTAAATATTTACACTGTCAAACTACAAGTACAAAAAATGACTTGCTTCAATTTCGCTCAATATTGATCATGTACCACACGCAAGAATATAAGGTCATAATACCATTTAAAATCTCATATTTCATCATTCTGAACGAGAAATTGTATTTATTACAATATTTTGATCACAAAATAAGTAAAAATTCTTTAAAACATTTTGTGAAACTCGATCTAAAAGGAGTGTTGTAATATATAGGGTAGAAATTTGTACGACCTTCTCCACAGATCATGACACATAGTCCCATGAAATATCACATTTCAATCGTACAAAGATTGCACTAAAAGCATTTTTAAATGTGTCTTTCCATTGAAAACAATGAAATATGAAGTATAATATTCAGTTATTGTTACTTATTGTGTATGCTCAATTTTGAGCGATATTGAAGCATATTATTCCTAGTATGGCAGAGTAAATATATGACATAGTAAGCTGATAGTTTGAACAAATAAACTATAAAAATAGGGCTATATTTTGACGAAAATTGCACCTCTATATGTTGAAACTATCTTGAGATATTAGAAACACGAGGTGATTGATTAGATGTATGATCAATTTTGAACTCGACTGTATGTATACTATACTTTTATTGAAAACTGAGTATCAGGCATATGTTTTAAAGATGTATTTCTTTAAAATTTGTAATACATTTCATAGATGTTTATTCATATGATCAATTTCATTCTACTTTTTTCATTCTTATTTCAAACAGTTCAACTTATACACCAAGCTAGTCAGATTGATCCACATAATCTATTTTGGTATTATGTAAACTATCAAAATAATACCTGTATAATAACATTTAAAAAAATCTCTAATTTGTACAATCTAACTAGAAAAAAAAACGATAAATCAATATTCAACATTTTAATACATCACGAGCTTGTTCAATAACTTGATTAACAATAGTCGCTGCTGATTGATTTGCACATCGTGCATAATTTTGTCCAGCCCATAATTGCATAAAATCGACTTGTTTTGTTTCGGCTGCAAATTTACACAAAGGTAATACAAGTTGTGATTGTACTTGCCATGGTAATATAACTTTTGCCTTATTTTCACTAGCACAAAAAAAATCAGTAATTACTGTTTGTATACCACGTGCTGGTTTTCCCGTATAAGCACGAGTTAATACAGTTGGTCGAAGTTTATTTATATCATTCTTAGCTTCTAATAATAATTTTCGATGAGGTTCAGGAACAAGTTTTGTACTTTCATGACATGTTAAAAATCGAGTACCCATTTGAACAGCTGAAGCACCTGATATTAATGCGTTAGCTAAACCTAAACCATCCATAATTCCACCAGCAGCAATTAATGGATATGAAGTTGGATCAATAAATTGTGTTGTTTGTGAAAGAAGAGATTGTAATCCAATTGTAGATTGTTCAATTGCTTCAATATCATTTGTAAGAAAACTTCCTCGATGACCACCAGCTTCAGAACCTTGTAAACAAATTGCATCACATCCTCGTTCTTTTAAAAAAATAGCTTCTTTTGTTGTTGTTGCTGTTCCTACTAATCGAATACCTAATTGTTTACAGTTTTTTATAATATCCTCTGATAAACATCCAAATGTAAATGAGAGTACAGAAACTTTTTCATTTAGAACAACTTCAATTTGTTCAGGAAAAAGATCTCTCGGTAATTCGACTCGAAGTAAATCAATATCAATATTACAATTATTCAATCTTTTATCAAGTAATAATTCTTTTAATTGTTTTCGTACAGAATCAATAGCTTGTGATGATATTTCAGATTGGTTTGGTGGAATAAATAGATTAACACCAAATGGTTTATCAGTTAATGAACGTATACGATTTATTTCATTTTTTAATTGTTCACCTGTCATTCGTGCTGCAGCTATTGTACCCAAACCACCTGCATTAGATACATTAGCAACAAGTTCTGGTGTTGTTAATGGAGACATAGGTGCTTGAATGAGTGGATATTGAATATTTAATAATCGTGTTAATAAAGTTTTCGGAAACATCTACAATTAATCTTTTCTTTTCAAGAGAAATAATCCCCCCCAAAAAAGTAAAATTACAGCAATAAATCTTCAAACAAATAAAAAACAAAACACCAAAATCAAAAATTTTAAAACGATATCAAGTGTTATACATAAAACAAAGTAGTACTAAACATATTAGCAATAAATAAATAACTTGTCATATGTCCGATGACTTGATGATTATTAAATAAGTTGGTTGTGTTTTTATTTTACTTAAAATGTATCTTTTGGAGTAAGATAATACGCAAGTGAAACATAAATAATAAAACCAAGAAATAATGCACCAGCAAGTATCCATATGATTCTCTGAAGGCATAGAAATAGACTAAGATAATTCAATGAAATTTCAACTACAAAATAGACATGTATCGAGACTAATAATGATTCATTTATTTATTCATACAAAAAAAATCTATCAAACGAGCTTGCGTTTCAGTCAGGATTGCCAGATCAAAAAGTTATAAATCGAAATTTTACTTATGTCGACAATCTGAACGTTGGTCGAAAGTAGTCGTGACAGGTACTTTACTAGCATTTCCCTGTCCATCACAAACCGTACAAGACGTTGTTAATACTAGATCAAAGACCGTATATCAATAACGTCTCATTCTAATATATGAACTAATTCCTTATTACATTTCTGCAGGATTAAATAAAAAGATGGTGAAGATATGTTTCTCAAAATAGATGGAATAAAGCAATCTCCTTGTGAATAGCAACTGCAGCTACGTCGTGTTTCACATTTCAATCCCATAAGAATTGTGCTAACAACGTTTTTTTTTTACCATACCAAGCATTTAACTCAATTCTTAATGGTAATTTGAATAGTCAATGAAGTTTTCTATCAAAGGCATTCTATACTGAAATTCCATAGACGGACTATGAAAGGAAAATTTCTGAAAAACCGAGCATGGTGATTTTTGAATCCTAGAAGACTGTATGAGAATTCGTTTTTAAGAGTAATATGTAGAGAGTACAACATTCTGAATAAAGTTAGGAGTTGCCGCATTTTCCTACGACCTGTCTTTAAAAAGTTATAAGCATCACAAAAAATGATAAAAAATACGTTTTTTTAAGCAATGCTACGATAAATTTTGGTTGTTTTGTGATGCTTATAACCTTTTAAGAAAAGATCACGGGAAACGCGGCAATCTCTCATTTTATTCAGAATCTTGTGTCCTCTATAATATTACTCTAAAAAACTAATTTTCACAGTATTCTGGAGCCTGAAAATTTATTTTTATTTGAGTTAAATGTTCGGTATCATAGAAAAGGAAATATGTTGATCTTATATTTTTGACCAGCACTGTATATTGCCTCTTTTTATTGAAATTTGTTTTGCTTGATCAATATTTTATGCAATAATGATTAGTGACATAGTTTTTTTTTTCTTCTTCAATCTCACTTATACTAATATTCAAATTCTCGAACTCATCAATCACAAATGAATCTTATACAGTTTAATACGTTAGACATATGACGTGAAAAATTTCCTTCTCAAACTTAAAACTCAATTTATATTGTCGAATTTGTTTATTCAAACGGCTTCTCTTAATAATACAGTCTGTTCAGTTTAGTTTCGAAAGGCTTTAGATTCAAGAGAGCATATTCTATTGGTAGTCTCAAAGCTTTGTACTGAGTAATAATTACAATAGTATCAATTTCTGAAAAGAGTTAATTTCGGCATTCTAATCAAACTCATGAAAACTCAAATTTAGCAAAATATAACAGTTCGGAAAAAATTCTGAATTTTTCCTGCCATTCCGGAAGATCTGGCAACCTTGATTTCAATACATATCTATTAATCAGATTGATAACATAATCTAACCTTCCAATAAGATACAGTTTCTTGTTCTGATTTTAACCGTTTCATTTCTCGGCGACGTTCGCTGACAACCTTTTTTTCTTGTCGACCTGTTATAAAAATTAAAAAAATACTTGAAACTAAATATCATATTTGAAAAATAACACAGACCTAATTCTTTTCGATATTGATCAACAAGTGATGTAGAATTACCGATTTCATGCTTTCGACCCATAGTATGATAAATACTTATTACTCACAATGAATACCTCTGAAAAAAAAACAAATCGCAAAATCTTATTTCGATATGCATAATTTTCATGTCTGAATTACAGTCAAAGTAAAAACTTCGTTTTAAACTTTTTAATTTTATTTATAATCATAAGACAGTATCATCAATTGTTTTACAAAAAGATCAAAAATTATTTTTTATTTTATTTTATTAAATTAATTACATATTTATTCAAGTGATGTTAATGTTGTTAATTGTCTTAAAACTTTAATTTGACTTGTTTCTCGAATTTCACCAGCTAAAAACATTTCATCAACAACTGAATATACCTGCAATTTAAACAATATATCAAATTTTTTTTTTAATAAAAATTTTTCAAGTACTTTGTAGAAATTGAAGACCAAATCAAGTTCGCATACATTATGAAAAAATCTTCACATAAAAAAAA